ATCATACTAATCTGGGAATGGAATGTAAGCTCCAGGAAGACAAGGACACCTACCCATCTATTACATAGCACCATTTCATTGTTGGGCTACGGATCAGGGCTTTAGAAATTGTAAAAGCCTAGTAATTCTTTGTTAAATGAGTGAATAAAGTGGGACCCAGTTACAAAGGGTACTACTGGTGTAGTTAGCATGGACTCATTCATCTCACAAGCACCTACTAAATACCAGGCACTGTCAGTGGGTTTGTGATTAAAGAGCAGTACTCCATGACAGACAGAAAACATGACACTCTGTAGATTTTGTCCCTTATACAAATTCTGCCTCTGCGGGACCTTAGGCAAGTCACATAACCCTAGGAGCCTCAGCTCCTTCAACTGGGCGAGGAGAGTGCAGGACTATGAAACGATTTGGCTACGGTATACTTGCATTGTGTTTCTATGCAATCTTTGATTCAGGAAATATTTACAACATACAGACTATATGCCAGGCATTTCTCTAGCACTGGGGATTTGGACTGAGCAAAGCAACTGTGAGTCTGACACTTCAGTGGGTTCTGTACATATGCAATTCAATTTAATCCTCACAACAGGGGTGCAGAGTATGTGTTATATCCTCATTATTAATATGAACCTGCAGAGGTTATGGTATTTGCCCACTGTCTCAAGTTCAAGGAGTGCTGGATTAAACCCAGATATGTCTAACTTTAAAGTCCATGTTGTGGGCTTAACATCTCATGCTTCTCTACTAGACCGACCACATACCTGAGTTTGCTAGGGACGGCCCCAGCCCTACCTGGTCACCACGACCCCAGGGGGCTCTTCACTCTGGGACCCATCACAGTCCCTCTCTCTTTGACCCTGTCATCATGCATGCTCTGCTCTCCCCCTGCTTGTCGCCATAGCCTAGAGAAAGTGGGGAATCAAATGGCCACAGAGAAGACCAAGTGCCATGTGATCACATGCCTTTGGTTAAAGGAATCTGAATGGCTTCAATTCTTACACAGAGTCAGGATTACCTGAAATGAACAAATTTAGAATGAGAGTGCCGAGGTGGTGACAGTGATGATGTCAACAGCAGCAACAATAGTAAACACAACAATCAAAAGACTAACTGTAATTTTTTTTTGGTATCATTAATATACAATCACATGAGCAACATTGTGGTTACTAGATTCCCCCCATTATCAAGTCCTCACCATATACCCCACTACAGTCACTGTCCATCAGCATAGTAAGATGCTACAGAGTCACTACTTGTCTTCTCTGCGGGAAAAAAGAAATACAGAGGTCTACTGCCTTCCCCATGCACCCCCCTACATTATATGTGCTGATCATAATGCCCCTTTTTACCCTTCTCCCTCCCTTACCACCCACCCTCCCCAGTCCCTTTCCCTTTGGTAACTGTTAGTCCATTCTGGGGTTCTGTGAGGCTGCTGCTGTTTTGTTCCTTCAGTTTTTGCTTTGTTCTTATTCTCCACAGATGAGCGAAATCATTTGGTACTTGTCTTTCTCCACCTGGCTTATTTCACTGAGCATAATACCCTCTAGCTCCATCCATGTTGTTGCAAATGGTAGGATTTGTTTTCTTTTTATGGCTGAATAATATTCCATTGTGTATATGTACCACAGCTTCTTTATCCATTCAGCTACTGATGGACATTTAGGTTGCTTACATTTTTTGGCTATTGTAAATAGTGCTGCAATAAACATAGGGGTGCATAGGTTTTTTTCCAACTGGGCTCCTGCATTCTTAGGGTAAATTCCTAGGAGTGGAATTCCTGGGTCAAATGGTATTTCTATTTTGAGTTTTCTTAGGAACCATACTGCTTTCCACAATGGTTGAACTAGTTTACATTCCCACCAGCAGTGTAGGAGGGTTCCTCTTTCTCTGCAGCCTTGACAGCATTTGTTGTTTCTAGTCTTTTCTATGTTGGCCATCCTAACTGGTGTGAGGTGATATTTCACTGTGATTTTAGTTTTCATTTCCCTGATAATTAACAATGTGGAGCATCTTTTCATGTGCCTGTTGGCCATCTGAATTTCTTCTTTGGAGAAGTGTCTGCTTATCCTCCACCCATTTTTTAATAGAGTCATTTGCCTTTTGGGTGTTGACGTGCATGAGTTCTTTATATATTTTGGATGTTAAACCCTTGTTGGATATGTCACTTACAAATATATTCTCCCATACTGTAGGATGCCTTTTTGTTCTGCTGATGGTGTCCTTTGCTGTACAGAAGCTTTTTAGCATGATGAAGTCCCATTTGTTCATTTTTTATTTTGTTTCCCTTGCTCAAGGAGATGCGTTCAGGAAAAAGTTGCTCATGTTTATATTCAAGAGATTTTTGCCTGTGTTTTCTTCTAAGAGTTTTATGGTTTCACCACTTACATTCAGGTCTTTGATCCATTTTGAGTTTACTTTTGTGTGGAAGGTTAGACAGTGATCCCGTTTCATTCTCTTGCATGTAGCTGCCCAGTTAAGACTAACTGTAATTTTTTAACCTGGATTCAGTGACCCATTGAGTCTTTATTCATTAAACAAGCCTGTCCTGAGCACTGACTGCTAGTGAAATGAAGTCACTTTATGTTTCATCCTATTGGCTAAATACCAAATCTCTGAGCCTCTTTTTCTCTCATCCATAAAACGGGAATAATACCCCCAACTGGATATAGCAAAATAATCATTGTTCAAAGAGAAAATGCATTGAAGGAACAAGGCCTCCAGCTCAGTATACGTTTGCCCCATCTCTTGTAGTTCAAGTTCCATGACATAATTCTATATAAAGGTCAGTGTGTTTATGCAATCTTTGATTCAAGAAATATTTACAACATACAGACTATATGCCAGGCATTTCTCTAGCACTGGGGATTTAGGACTGAGCAAAGCAAAGGAAGTCCTTTCTATTCTACTGCTCATACACTAGTGGGAAAAATCAGGCAAAAGATACAGTCAACATGTAATAAATAAATAGAACAGACTGAGCAGATGGAAAGAAATATAGGGGGTTTTACTACTTTAAATTGGGGGATGAGGGAAGGCTTCTTTAAGGGCGTGACATCTGAGCAAAGATTTGAAGCTGGTAAAAGTACAAGCTAAATGGAGATGAAGAAGAGGGTTCCAGCCCAGAGAAGACATGTGCAAAGGGGCTGAGGCAGGAGCAAGATTGCCAGGGCCAGGGAAGTGTAGGAAAGCCTGTTCCTAGAGCTAGATGAAAAAGAAGGGAAAGAGCAAGGGAAGTCAAAGAGAGGGGCCAGGACTGTCATACATGGGGCCTGTGGGCTCTGGAGAGAATCTGGTGCGTTATTTGGATGTTATTGCAAGTGTGATGGAAACTGTTGGAGTGTCCCCTGAAGGTCAGTTCATAGAGAAGAGCGTGAAGCCACAAGAGGATGCTTAGATGCTGAATCCCGGAGAGCATGAACTCAGTGCCAAAAGCTCCTCCCTAAACCAAAATGGATTAGGATGGACCAGAATGGGGAAACCAGGACAACACAACGGGGGATTCCAAATCCAGCACAGCACATTCAGAGGTACATCTTCATGGGGCAGATATGAGACCCCGGTTCAGAGACCCATCCCAGATCTAAGGCTGGGGACACTGGGCATTGATCAGTCTAGTTAACCCAGCTGTGGCTCTGTAGGCAGGTGTCTCGAGTGAGACGAAGCCAAAGCCACCAAATGCCATGGCCCTGGCACTGGGTGACTGTTTCGCAGACACATTTTCATTTCATCTCACAACAGCTCTGAGGGGTGGAGGCTCCAATCCACACTTTATCAGTGAGGAACCTGAGATGGCGGGAGTATAAGTGACTTGCCCAAGGTCAAAAGAAACCTTGATTCTTGGACATGAAAGCCCATCTTCTTCCTTTACAGCCCCCTACGTACTGCACCCACGTCCTTGTACGTACCTGCTCTTTGCCCCTTCCATCATGAGGAGTGACTTGATGCCAACAATAACCACCTCCCACCATGCCGGCCCCTGAAGGTTACACACCTCATTCCCTGTCATTATTTGTACTTCCTATGGACAGGTTCACACCCTTGCTGTCCTTTATTTTCACAGGCATGGCAAGTACAGGATGTGATAAATACCCTGAACAAGGAAACATTTAGCCTAAGCTAACTATTATCGGCAGCATCTATGACGAATGACTTAATATAACCCTGTAAAGCTCGATGTGATGACTAATTTGTGGTTAAAAGTAGTTGGAAATTTACTTTGTAAAAAATTACGTGGAAGTAACTCGATTAACTTTGAAGGAGAAGGGAAAAAAGCCAACAAAAATACACCTATAATGATTTACTCCTCCTTGCAGGCTTAGCAATAAAGATAAGAATTACAACCCCAAGAGCAGTTACACAGGGAAAGTGCATGTTTCACTCTGTATACTGGATGCAGGAAATGTTCTACATAAATAGAAAAGCTCTGGGGCTCCACGAACCTGAAAAATTCTACCTTCCGCTGTCCAGTCCCAACTCTTCCCCTAACAGGTGAGAAAATGAGGACTGCATAGGCGTGTCTGATCTCCTTGGCAGGGAGGGAAACACAGTTGGGCACCAGAGAAGGACATGAGCCCTGGGGTCCCGATGGCCTGGGCACACTGGCTCCATTCTGGGTGACTTGGGATCAAGCACCTACCTTCCCTCTAAGTCAGACTCTTCATATGAAGAATATGGGTAATAATGCCCACTTCCTCAGGGTATAAAAGGTAAGTGGTTTACTGAATATAAAATACCCAGCACAATGCCTGGCACACAGTAGGTTCACCAAAATAGTCATTTTTTTTCTTCCTCTGCCTAGTTATTGTCATCCTCCACGAAAGCCACATCAACTCTTTCCATATTATCTCTCCAACTCTATACCCACCAGTGAAAATCATAAGATTGATAGTGATCCCACAGGATAAACATAAATCTATACAGTTATTGCACCTATGTTTATTACTATACAAACCCTAGAATTCTATTTTGAATCGTCCTTTTAAAAAGTGTTAAACGCTCACCTTCGTGCTGTCACTGTGCGGCTACCATTGCTGTATTTGTCTCCAGTGTCCCTAAATGCAGTTTAATCAGTGGCCTGGCACAAGGCATCGTGCCTTTGTGGGGACTTGGGGAAGGGACCTGAAAGATTGGTGAGTGACGTCTCTGGCAGACGCGAGCCTTACAGGCATAAGCACACCTTGGAAGATAACATGGCCTTTCTCTGGGATCCCTGCCAGCTCTACCAAAGTTGACTCAGGTGTTGTAAGGACTTCCCCAAGCTTGACTTTCCTGCTTCCGCTTCTCCATGCCAGCGCTCCTCCCTTTGATCTTAAGAATAAAATGCAGACCTGAACTACGGCCTTCAAGCACCTGGCAGCTGGCTGCAGCCTCCTAAGGGCTCTGGTCCCCTCACCTTTTAGCTCTCTGAACACATCACGCCTTCTTCCTGCTCAGGGCATCTGTCTATGCTGTCACCTTCCCGAGAATGTCTCACGCAGAACTACTTTCTGCTCAAATGTCACCTCCTTAGAGGGACCCTCCCTGAATATCTCATTCCAAACAGTGCCCTCTTTCTTTATCACATCCCCCATATTAGCTCTGAAGTGCGATATATCAAAGGTCTGCACATATGTTGCTATTAACTTACCTGTTCGTTTGTTACCTCCATTACTAGACCTTAAGTTTCCGGGGTATGTTGGCCTCCTAGAGCGGTGTGTAAAAGATTATCCCAAGGGGGAGGCTTAAAGCCACAGAAGCTTATTGACTCACTGTTCTGGAGGCCGGAAGTCTGCTACCCAGGAGTCAGCCGGGTTGGGCCCTCTGGTTCCCCACAGGGAGCATCTGTTCCATGAGTTTCTCCGGCTTCTGGGGGCCATGGGCAATCCTTGCTGCTCCTTGGCTGGTAGGCACGTCACTCCAGTCTCGGCCTGGTCTCCCGTGGCCTTCTCCTTGTGTCTGTGTGTCTGTGTCTCCAGTCTGCACTCCTGTCTCTCCTAAGGACACCAGCCATTGGAGCTAGAGCCCACCCTAAATGCAGGAGTCTCTCATCTGAGATTTTAACTTGCATCTTCAAAGTCCCTATTTCTGAATAACTTCACCTTCACAGTGCCAGGGGTTGGGACTTAGAAATGCTTCTGTGAGGAAGGGGTGCAGCAATCCACTACAGAGAGCAAACTCCTCTCTCAGGGACCCACTCCCGGCGCCTGGCATATTGCTTATCCCCTAGTGGGCTTCCGTTAAACGTGTGCGGAGTGAATGAACACTGTCACCTTAAGACCTGCCCCTCTGGTCCTACGTCCTCGCCAGGAGGCCCTTCCATCCCTGGGAGCCACGGCTTCCAGACGGCCTGAGCGTCCCACTGCCCCCGCCTCCTCGGAGCTCCGCGGGAAGCCGGACCGCCCCGGACCGCAGCTGTCCCGGGATGAGCAGAGCAGCGTGGGGCTGGGCCTGCTGCGCACACGCAGAGAGGGCTCTGTTTCCGCGGGGCTCCGTGAGGACAAATGTCAGGGCTCTTGCTCCCTGTTCAGGGGATTTTCCTTCCCACGGGCTCTGCGGACACGGAGGATCCATGCTTACCAACGCCTTCCCCTGCCTGCACCCCAACCTCATCTCTTGCGAGCCCCTCTGTCCCGAATGTTTGTTTCCCCCCATCCTGAGGCTCCACCCCGGCTGCTGGGCTCCTCCTGCATCAGGCGGCCTGGGTCACCACAGCAAAGTGCCGCCCAGCGGGCAGCTTGCACAACAGAAATGTGTTTCCGCACAGTTCTGGAGGCTCGAAGTCTGAGATCCAGGTGCCGGCAGGGCTGGTTTCCTCTGTGGCCTCTTTCCTTGTGGCCAGTGCCACGTTGTCCCTCTGTCCTCACGAGTTTGTCCCTCTGAGGGCGTCTTTGTCCTAATCTTCTAAGGATACTGATTGTATTGGATTAAGACACATCCCAATGACCTCATTTTAACTTGATCAACTCTTTAAAGAAATGTCTTCAAATACAGGGACATCTGAGGTACTGGGTGTTAGGACTTCAACACATGAATTTTGGAAGGATAAATTCAGCCCATCCTTCAGATTTCAATTCAAATATCACTTCCTCAGAGAATTTTTCATGGATCTTCCAAATGAGATCAGACTTCTCCATTACAGACTATGATAGCCCCTTACTCTGCGTATTCACAGCATTTACCATGGCAGTAAGTATAAGTGTGGCAGGGGGTGTAATTATTTGACTCACATCTCTCTCTCCATTAATTAGACTGCAAACTCCATGAGGGCCGTGGAGGTGTCTAGTTTTGCTTACAATTAATATGCCCAGGATTTTACACTCTTAGCCATTCACTCCTTCTTATCCTCCTCCTTTCAAAATCTGGGGTATCACCTGCCTTTTCTATCTCTCCCCACACCTCAGGCTCTGTCAGAAGGCTTCACCCTCCTTCTGTTTTTGACCCGCCTTTCAGGTATCATTTCCTTAAGCTTTAATATAGGTCATTTTCTCTTGCTCAATGGACTGTTTCTGGGAAATTATTGACGCTCTCGTGGTATTAGTAATGTCCTATTTTGCCTCTGACTTCTACATTTTTATTTATTTCCAGTGTGGTTTTGCCTCCTTCGTTCCATTTCTGTGTTTCCCACTTCCTACAAGTTACTTCTAGTTTTACCAACTCAGAAATCAACACAGAAATTATCTTTACCTTTGAATCTACTCCACCTCTATTACTCAGCTTAGTAGATGGTACCAACATACACCCAGTTGCTCAAACTGTAAAATATGTCACATGTGCCCAATGTGTAAGTATAAAATAGAAATGTGTAAGGATTACTCTAAGTCCAGATTCTTCCCCACATCTCAAACCCAACTCTGTTGACTGTTCCTGTGCATTCCTTGATTCAGGTTTTTTTCTCCCCATTTTTTATGCCTTGAATCAGACCACCATTCTATCTCCACTGCCACAAGAACGTTTATCCAGTAAAAATCCACGTCATTCCTCTGCTTAAAGCGTTCCAGCAGTGCCCCACCACAGCAGAATACACATCTGTCTATTTAGCCTGCCATGAACTGCAATTTACTCATTTTCCTAGAATCATTTCTTACTAATATTCTCCATTTTTCTACATCCTCACCTATACTCTATTTATCACTTATCTTTGAGTAGGCCAGAGTCCTCCATGTATCTGTGGGCTCTTCACAGCCCCCACTTCAGAGAGTGGCAGAAGCTCTTAGTTGCTACCCCTCAGGGAGTGGTCTCAGCTGCAGAAAACTGCCTTGTCCAAGGTCACATCTCCTTCCATGGGGCAACCTGCACCCACTGCTGATTAGCACAAGGGGACAAAATCCCAGCTCCCTTGCCTAAACCCAGGGCATCTCTGATGAGCCATCCTGCTCTGAGCTCCCTGTGAGGTCTGCTGAGGACTCTGTTGGGGTTGAATGCAGCTCAGATTCTCCCCCTACAGACACTGCCTTCTGTTCTTTCTTCACAGGTATAGATCCCAAGGGCACTCCCAGAGAAACTGCACAGTAATCTCTGCCTCCAAGTCTGCCTCCCAAGGAACCAATCTGGATACTGGCTATTTGCAAATACTGTGTCCTCCGTCTAGATAGTGTTTTCTGTTCTATCTTTGCCTGCCAAACTCCTATTCATTCGTCACATCCCAAGTCAAATGTCATCCAGATGTCCAAAGAAACTGAGCCCCACTATCCTTCTGTAGCACAATTTGGTATTCCTCAACATCAACAATATTACACTATATTATGATAACTTTTATGGTAGTTTTCCTCCCCTGCTAAACTAACTCAGTCCTATACAGGAGTAGTGTAGTAGTTTCCTACTGCTGTGTAACAATTGCCACAAACTTAGTGACTTGAAATAACATGGATTTATTGCCTCATAGTTCTCTGTAGGTTAGAAATCTAGATGAGCCCAATTAGGTTCTCTACTTAGGGCCTCCTAAGATTTATATCAAGATGTCAGCCAACCTGGCTCCAAGTAGGACATTTTGGGTAGAATCTACTTCCAACTCATTCAAGTTGGCAGAATCCAGTTCCTTGTGTCTGTAAGACTCAGTTTTCTGTTTCCTTGCTGGCTGTCAGCCCCTCTCTGCTCCTGGAAGTTATCCACATGCCTTAGCACATGGCTTTTTCCATCTTCAAAACAACAGTGCATCAATTCAACTCCTTCTTATGCTTTGAAACTTCTGACACCTACCTCTGTCTTCTGCCATGAGCTAGGGTATTTCTTTCCTTTAATATTATCCCTTTTTTAGGGCCAACTTTGCCAAACAGTAGAATCATGAATGTGGTATCTCACATTCACAAGTTCTAAGAATTAGAACATGGTTTTCTGATGGCCATACCTAGAAATTCTGCCTACCTCAGATGAAAAGAGAATCTTATTCACTAAGTATGCATCTCAGCACCTAATATAAATGATAAATGATGCTTGCATTAATTTTTAGGGTGATCAACTTTGGTTTCAATGATTATGATATTTTAAACTCTGTTTTAGTTGCATGCATAATGAAAAAACAACCTCAAATAGCAAATAAGGAAATAAAATAACAATAAAGAAATAGACTGCCTTCCTTTCATGGTGAACATTGATCCATAGGAGAAAAAATTAAGAATGGAAGAGAAACATCACAAAATAAAAAGAAACAAAAATCTCCTGAAAAATAGAAGTGTAGTTTTGCACATTCTATAGTTGAGTCTATCAACTTTCAAGTTCAATAATTGATAGTAAAGTTGCAAAAGTTGCTTTACTATTAAAATATCTTGATTAGATCAATGACAGCAGGTTTCCTAGACCTAAATCTGCGGTAACTCAAATAGAAATCTGGTTTGGAGCTGTAGGAAAGCAATGCTCACTGGTTTGCCCCTAGACTGTACGGTGATGAATTAGTAGTTTTGGTTTGGAGATGAGGTCATTTTTGTGCATGTATTTGTATGTTTGTTTATGTAAATGACTGCAGTGTTTTTAAGGCTGCTGTCTCTCTTCATATACACCAAGACTCTAATACTTTTTAGAGATTATGGCCTCCTTCCCTTCTGCTGATTGCGGCCTTCGCTTTATTTTGTGCTCAGGCATACAAAGTGATGGCAGAGGTGGACAAGTGTTTCTGGCTGCGGCTCACCCGAATAAAACTGTTTCAATTGATTCAGAGCGCTGATGTCAGCCAAGACCCTATACTTGTTGACACTGCATCTTTCCCAGTGAATAATAAATCACTGTGTTTCCACCAAAAGCCTCTCTCCCTCTGCCTTTCTCTTTTCTTCTACCATTAGTCATGCTGGTCTAGCTCCCCACCTGTCCCTTGGCATGTTTCTGCAAATACTTTTACCCACATAGAGGTGGATTTGGTTTCATCGAAGTTGGGAACACACCTGTGCTTCTTGGGTTTGCAACCTGCCAGCTGCAGTCCTTTTAAAGGTATTTTTTTGCTGTTTGTATATATTACAATCTGCTATTTCTTGGTGTGGATCTTTCAAACATTACTATCATTAGAATTTGGAATTACACTTGATGCAAATATGCTTCAGAACAAATTACATAAGCAGTTAAATATATAGTGGGTAATCTTGAAAGAGGATTAATGTTAACTAATTAACTTGTATATGATTCATATACCATAGCTCCTTTCATTCTCCCAACAAATCTAATGAGGGGAAATTATCCATTATCCTCATTAAATAAGTGAGAAAGTTAGACTCAGGAGAAGTAACTTGCCTAGATCATTTACCAACTAAGATCCTGGACTCCAAATAAGGAGTGTGTGGTTGCAGAGCCCTTGTAATTATCCCTTTATATGATGCATTTCCTACATGACTCTGCTGCTTTCCTGCTTCCTTTCACATAGTCATTCAACATTCCAAGAATCCCTACTGTGACCCAGACACTATGCTCATGGCAAAAGATTTGCACTGGCAAAAACACAGTCCTGCTCCACAGATGCTGGTAGACCAGCAGAATGCCATTTTTTTTGAAAGTGCTCTAACAGAAGTAGGTCTCAAGGTAGGTTGATCTAGACCTCTTCTTCCAATGGTAGTTGCTACTCGTGCAGGTTATTTAAACGATTAAATTGTTTTATAGATAAAATTAAGAATTCAGTTCCTCTATTACACTAGTCACATATGAAGGGCTTGATAGTTACATGGGGCTAGTGGCTTCTACTGGACTGGTCAGTCCAGATTTGAGGGTATTCCCAAAATTGTCCAATGTCCTATTGGACAGTGTTCGTCTAGAGGATCATAAAGACTTCACTGAAAGTAGCTCTTGAGCTCAGACTTGAAGACCAAATAGGAGTTTCCAGGCAAATGAACAGAGGCAGGAAGTTCCAGGCCAAGGAAACCAAATGGCAGGGAGACGAT